AAGTCCTACCCTGAATCACAGCACATGCACACCAGCATCTGGGGCCTCCGGTCGCTGCGTCCACATTCCTCACAGAAAACAGCAAGGGTCTCTTCCTCTTCATCATCATCATCATCATCCTGTTTCCGTGGACTCACTCTGATCTGCGGTACACAAACACTTCAGACACAAGCACTGTTTACACACACTGTATATTTGCAAATACTTGGCAGAAAGCTTCTTTCAGCAAACCTCCTCCTGGACGTCCCCCCCAGGCCTCGCTCTCTGGTAAATGAAAGCAAAACTGACCCGATCCACTGGGCAGGTGTTGGCCGTCTGTGATTCAGGACAGAGCAACTAAATATGCAAGTCTCAGCAAATATTTATGATGCACACACTGCGAATAGATAAAACAGGACTGCAACGTACAACATGCATCTGCAGCTAATGATTATCTCCATTTCTGAACTCTATTTAATTTTTTTTGCAAATAAACCTATCGACAAGTCAGTCTGCAGGTGTTTTAAAGAACGCTTAAATCACATCAAAAATCCCTGTGATTGCTGTTTTAAGCTTCTTAGTTGTGACGTTGTGAAATTAATGAATGATAGTAAACTTAATATATTTAATTTGTACTGTTGTTCAAACTGGGAAGACTCCATTTGCCGTTACTTTACTGACAAAACTGTTGATTAAAAATATAATTAGAAGATTAATCAGGAATCCTTGGCTGCAGCTTTAACTGATGGTGCCATAAAACAGAGAAATCCTGACATTAAAGAGGCTGGACACAGACAAGGTTTGTCATGTTTGACTCCAGCAGGATAATTAAACCTCAGCGTGAATCCCGTGTTCATTTTAAAAGACAATGCTCACACGTCACTACATCTGTGTCTTTAAAACCTTTTTCTTTGTCAACTTGGTATTGATCTTGCCAACATTGATAAAGAGGGCCTGTCACACCACATGAACGCTGCAGTGATTAAAAAGCAATCACAAACTCACTATAAAATAAACATTCAGCTCCAGACAGGATGTTCATCAGAACCAGGTACTCTAACTAATTTGTCTGATGGTTTAAGTCTGATCTTTTAATTAGATCTGACTGTCATCCAGTGCAACAGGAGAAGTGCTGCCTGTGGCTTTGTTTAGTTTTCTACATCCTCGTACAAAATCACACCAATCAGTCTAAAGTTAAGCTTTCCCACATAGTTATGGCATTGGGGGGTGAAAATTCCAGTTCCTCGTCAGTATTATGCTAAAGAGGCAGGTTTTATATTTAGATCAATCAATTAGTCGATCTAAAGAAAGATTTAGTCCTATTTTAAGCGAACATTATCTGCATCCAGCTTCTCAAGCTTAGAGTTTTGCTCTTTTTCTTTCTATTAAATGACAATAAATGACACACATGAGGAACAAGGACAGAGATCAAACATGAGACCATGGGTATCTGTGACTTAACTGGTGATTGTAAATTGTCCGTAGGTGTGAATGTGAGTGTGCTTGGTTGTCTGTCTCTAAGTGTAGCCCTGTGATAGACTGGTTACCTGTCCAGGTGAACCTGCCTTCACCCTGAGTCAGCTGGGATAGACTCCAGCCCCCCATGACCCTAGTGAGGATTAAAGTGTATAGATGATGGATGGTGTGTGTGACTGGTGAGGTTTGTTTACCTGGGACCACTGGAGGATACAGTCCAGACAGAAGACATGCCGGCAGCTGTCCAGAGAGGCCACCGTTTGCTTCTCAAAGGGACTCAGGCAGACGTAGCATTTATCTGAGTCCGACATCAGAACCTCTCTGTTGGAGTCATCCATGATTTAAATGCCGCTGGACCAGACTTCATCTGTTTGTGTTTGATTTAAGGCCTTTTGTGACGCTGTTTCTGGGGAACAACTAAAGCAGGACGAAAGGCGAGGCTCGCTTTTTATCCATTGAAACTTGTATAACTTAACTGTGCATGTCTTCGGGTCGGTGTGACGGAGTTTCATAGATGTTGATATTAGCTCGACGTTAGCTAGCATGAGCCGGTAGCTAACACTTTGGTGTCAGAACAAAGCGATTAATTAAAACAGACCACGCTGTGTCTTCTGTGGCTTTTAGTTAACTAGTGTTGAAGCGGCTGTTACATGACAGAATCATAAGACTCGTATATTCGCTGAAACGTTCAAATCCGGAGCTGCTATTTTGAAGCTACTTCATATTCCGCGCGACACTTGTAAACATCCGGTTGTGTTCCTCCAGAATAAGAGCGGCGAACGCGGACTTCCTCTGCGTGTGTCTGAGAGAGAGAATGTGAAGATTGCCTCTAAATGAAATACCCATATTTTTTTTCTTCAAGGGTTGTCAACAATACAAATTGTTTATTATTATTATTATTATTATTATTATTATTATTATCGCCCCTCCGGTGCCATATCATATCGTCCTGACCAATCCTGTTTTCTTACAGCTCCTCATGTGTACCACCATCAGTAATGTTTTTAACTGCAGTAACAGAAATGCTGGTACATTATTCTCCTTCCCATACCTGTACATATGTAAATTCCTCCGGTCATATGTGTGAATATTCATATGTTTCTCATCATGTCATATGTGTACATGTGTAGATGTGAGAGTATTATTGAGGGAAGCTCATTTCTACAGCAAACAGGAAGAGACTTCATCATACTGGTAATAAGGGGCAGCTCTGTCCTGTCCTGGGATGTCCCTTCAGAGCAGCGGTGGGAGAAAGGAGGACAATGGCTAAATCATCATCCCTGCTGGAGAGCACGTCCCAACACCTGTTTCAGAATGAACTTTAATAATAAGCCCACTGCAGCTCTGATTAGTGGCACCATGACTTGTGCTGTACCTCCCCATCTTCTGATTCCTGCTGCAACTCTGATTGACAGATGGTTTTTTAGCTGGTCACAGATCTTCTTGTATCCTTTTCCATCTTTGTCCAGACTTACAATCAGATTTTGCAGCTCCATTGTGGCAATCACTTCCATGTGGAGCCACGATGCAGCCTGTAGGTCCAAAGCTTCTGGTGTTCACGGCTCACTTTAGAACCACGTTCGTGCAGTCAGGCTGATTTTAGTTACAGTCATCCTGCTTTGTTTGTTTTTGATTTTTCAGAGGAGGAGATAGTCTTAGTCATCAACTTAGAAATAATAATAATGTGGCTGTTGCAAGGTGAAGCTATTGTGAGTCATTTGGCATCGAGGTGACATTCAACAAGGCTGCATTAAGTCTAATTTCCAGCCCTGCACCTGGTTGACCTGCCAGCCTTGACTCATGTGTGGCCTCAGGATACGGTCACGTTCCAACACAGCTTTTAGACATTATTCAAGCACAATGCAGCCCTCACAGAAGAATACGTGTCTGAGTGAAACAGTGTTCTCTGCACACCTTCTGCTTTAGTGCACTATGGGATGTGCTCATTTGAATCAAGCCTAAAGAAGTGTTTTAGAGTAAAATCACTGCCAGCAGCTCTGTGCTGAAGCTGAACAAGTACGTTCTTCATTTATTCTCTTTAACACAGGGACTAAATACTTGTTGTTCCAGCAGAATGAAACAACCCAGTATGGACTATCCTGGGAGTACAGTGAGCGTTGGTGGACATTTTTTGATTACAAGATCATGTTGTCGGACATCCAGAGCATTATGCTGCTCATTGTGGACAAATGGTGGAGCTCTAACCGACGTGCTGTTCTCGTCCACCTCTCGTCATCGGTGGGATCATTTTATATCCGTAACCGGACAAAGACGTGTCTGATATACCATCTGAACTGCTTGTATAATGTTGTCCTGACTCGGCAGAGTTGGTGGACATTTGTAGGGACAGGATCATGTTGTCGGACATCCAGAGCATCACGTGGCAGATTACTAACAAACAGTGGAGATGTGGACACTCAGGTGCCTGGTTCTAATCTTCACTGACCATCTTTGGCATCGTGTTGTTTGAGTAGAGCTGTCTGGTTGGTCACACTGATCATTGTCCTTTAAAGCCACGTCTGGATTAAATTAACTGCTCGTGGGATGTCGTCCTGCTCTTCCTGAAGGCCTCGGTGAAGTCGGTGGACATTTTTTGGGGGGAAAATATCCCGATATCAGACATCCAGAGCATCATGAGGCAAATTGTCAACAAATAGCGGAGATGTGGACACTCAGGTGCCTGGTTCTCATCTTCACTGACCATCTTTGGCATCGTGTTGTTTGAGTAGAGCTGTCTGGTTGGTCACACTGATCATTGTCCTTTAAAGCCACGTCTGGATTAACTTAACTGCTCGTGGGATGTCGTCCTGCTCTTCCTGAAGGCCTCGGTGAAGTTGGCGGACACTTTTTAGGGGACAGGACCCATCCAGAGCATCACGTGGCAGGTTGTTGACAACTGTTGGAGTTTTGTTGACATTCAAGTGCCTGGGTCGGGTCATTCTCTGGTCATCTGTGGAACTGAGCCATGTGAATGGAGCTACATTTGAAGGTTGTTTTTTATTGTAACTGGTCAAATTAGTGGAGAATCTGTCACCAGCTAAACAGCTCAGAAACCTTTTAATCGACAGAACAACAGAAATGAGAGCTTCAACTTTTTTTCTCCATGTCAGGGAACAAAGTTTGTGTGTTTCTGTTCAGTCTGAGTGTCTGAGTCCATCCTGGAGACGCTCCTCAGAGGGCAGGTGGACTCTGATCAGCTTTAGGTGCGTTTCTGACTTCAGTCTGTGGAGTTGTTGTTCTTTTTTCTTCTTCTTTTTTTTTTTTTATAGCATTCTTGGGAGGACCCCGCCCATGCTGCAGCAGCAGGAGGGCCTGGCTTCTCGGGTTTCACCCTGGAGAGCCGAGAGACGACCTGATGCGGGGAGCTGGTTGCGCACACTCGAGCGGAACTTTGCGCTTGTGGACATCCCGCCTGTGGAATGCTGCGCGGACCGTGTTTGGAGGAATAACCTGGACTCACCGGACCGCCAGGTAAGGCCTCACCTGGACCAGCACCTCCACAGCTGGTCACACGGTTCTCTTCTGGTTCCTGAGCTCTGAGCGGAACGACCTGAGCTCAGTTAGAAACACACCTGGACGGGTCCCACCTGCGGACACACGCAGCTCAACCAGCGACCTGTGATCACATCTACAGCCTCATGAGCGTCGCTTTAGTCACAGAAACACCCAGAACAGCTCTTTGTTGTTCAGTGAAATGAGCAGAAATGATAAATCAGTGCGTTTTTAGTCGTCCAGCACCAGGCAAAGTCACCTTCGCGCTTATTTGTTGCCTCAGTCATTATTTAACTGCCTCCAGCGGCTCATTGAGACGTGAGTGTGGATGAACCATCATGAAGTGAGTTTTATGTAAAGAAAAATGCAGAAATCATGTTTCCAGCTTCTTCCTGTAACTCTGACCATTAAAACAAACCTGCAGATTTGAGGATAAACCACTGACACTGAGATTAAAATTAAAATCTGTTTAGAAGTCTGACGTCCAAAGCAGCTGTTTGTTCTCATTTGGTTTGATGAGGAGCCTCCTGAGGTCCTGACAGGTGAGCTGGAGTTCAGGCTGTTTGGTGGAGGTGTGATCTTTCTCTGGTGAGGTCACTCCAAGGCCAATAAAGGCATCAGTGGATGAGTGATGGCTTTATGTGAGTCCTGCTGTGGGAACCTTCACAGCAGCCCTGCAGGAAACCACACAGACATTCAGTGTGTAGGAATCAAAAAGATCTTTAACATACTGTGCATGCATGCAGAGCTTTAATTACTAATTCCTAAACATGTTGGCACAAATATCACTGAAATGTGGGCTGGATTAAATTAAAAAAAGATGACAGATAGGAGATTAAATGGCATATTTTTCTCCGTTACGCAACTTAATTGCTCGCACCCAAAAAAAACTCTCAAAGACAAAGAGGAAAGTCTCGGTGCCTGGCAGGCGTTGCATAACAATACCCATCGTCTTCCTCTCTGTCTGACAGGCAGCCAGGTATGCATGACATACTGCTCCAGCAGAAACTCGGACTTGGCAACAGTCGGGCAGGCAGCTACATGCGAAACACGAGAGAAAACACACACAAAGGGCGTCACACACACACGATGCCGGTGGATCAGGTGGTCTGACGAAGCCTTCAGGCGGCCTGCAAACTTCTCTACTGCGGCCTGAGGTGAAGCACAAGATGAGAAGCCTTAACATTTATTTAACATTTAGAAAACAAACTGCACCACCAGCATAGTTGCTGTGTGTGCCGTAAACTGGGCCGCTCGCTGTGTTTTGTGTTTATTAATGGTAAAAAAAATGGCAGTTACAGCATTTTTAAAGCACCAGATTCAGCTTTATAATGAAAATAGTAAGAGAACAGGTGAAAAGCAGCAGCTCAGGGTTAAATTTGTTCCTCCGTCTTGCTTCTCGGTCGTGTCTTTTCTCCAGCCTGGTCTTACAGTCCAGCTAAGTGGAGTTCATGGTGCTACGGTTGGACGGTGATCTCAGGAGCAGCGTGCGTGCCACATCTTAATTACAGCGAATTAGTGATGATTCACCCTCCAGCGTCAATAATGGCCCAACTTCATGCATGATCCCCCGATGATGGAGAGGAGGAACAGTTTAAACATTTGTCTTGTTAAGAGGAGTCGAGCTCCGGACGCCGAGTCACACGTTGTTCATCACTTCTGCTCATTACGCCGTCGGTAGAGCTGTCACATTAGATGAACTGCGTGCATGTTAATATTTCTCTTTACCAGCCGTGCCTGGACAATTTGCTCTAACTGCTTGTCTCCATGCAGCTTCACAGTCCGGCTGCAGCGTCGCACCAGTGAGCTGCACCTCCATCCAGCCTGTCCAACAATGTTCCCATTCACAAAGTGTAAATGTCAGTTTTTGCAGCTTGTTTTCCAAACGTCTCCCACCTCCACCATCATGCTCCTGCACTGGTCCTTCACATTTGCTAAATTCCAAAGTGGAATTAGCTTTATTTTGTTGTCATTAGGTCTTCATGCACGGCCACACATTCCCGTCGATGTGTTGTGATGTGTGTGCTGAACGTCGGCCCTCTCAGACGGAGGCGTGTTCGTTTTATGGCCCTTTAAGTGCAGCATGTTTGTTAATATTACAGCCCTGCGTGTCATTAGTTTGAGGGTCTGTTAACGGCGACAAGCACCGACGCATCCGCAGCCTGAGTCAGCAACACGAGCGTTCCCATGGGAAAGCCTGACCACACGCCTGTCTGTTCTGGTGCCACTTTACTGTCCCCTCACTGCAGAAATGTTCACGTTACAGCCGCTGGAAGCAAATGAGGCACCGAGGACAAGAAAGACAAAAGTACAGGAACTCTAAAAATAAAGCTATGATAAAGATAATGTACACCTTTCACATGTAAAGCTATGACATGATGGAAAGTATAACCACTTGAAGGACTCATATGGTTTGTAGAACGGTACTTTTAGAACCATAGAGCAACATTTCTGTTATTGTGGTCATAAAATGGACAAGATGTTGGGTTTTATGGAAGCAAACAGTGTTTCTGGATGTTTCAACACTTGAAAAGCTAAAACAAATCCTAAAAACAGTAAATCTTTTCAACATCAGGTCTGTGGAGTTAATTTGAAGTTTAATGAAATCATGACTCGATCATCAGACGTAATTGTTGCGTCATTAATGAACTTTAATTAACAGGATGCAGTCACAATGAGCTGTCCGGTTGGTTCTGACTTTGTTATTTGAGCAAACTAATACCGATTCTAGTCACTGGGCTCTCCTGAATCAATCAACTAAATGTTTATATAAAAATGAATTGATAATAAAATTGTGTTTATTGTGATTTTCATGTTTCTAGGCTCCAGTCATGTCTCCTCACCTCCGTGCTTCATCGTCTGTCTGGCTGATGTTGTGCTACCTGCTCAGTGTCCTGCTGCTGTCCTCAGGTGTCCATGGCCAAGGTAGTGATGCTTAAACATAGAACAGTTTATCTACTATTTATAAAGGTCTCACACACGCTGCTGGAGACGATGGTGACGTTTCACAGCATCCTCACACTGGCTTCCCACAAACTGCTCGCTAGCTGTGTCCCAAAAGACACACACACACACACATATATATATATATGTGTGTGTGTGTGTGTGTGTGTATATTTTAACAGACAGTGTTGCGAGATGTTAGAAATAGTAATTGTGAGGTTTGTTAAAGTGTATTCTTTTTTTTTGAAAGGAGAGGAAATGCTAAAGTTGCTAGCTTGTTAGCTTCCTGTATTCAAAGAGAAATCACCATTAGCATGAGACTTGAGCCTTGTAAATATTAGGCTTCTGATAAAATATTTTCACTATTATCTAATACAATAACATAATAGATAACCAGTAGTAAAAAAAAAAATATATATATATGTCTTAAAATCAACTAGCTGACTTTAGGTTAGCGAATAATGTTATGCTATATCAGCTTCCTGTAGCATTAGCTCGCTAGCTAATTACTGTCGGCCAAACACCCCTGCTGATGAGATGTTATTTTCATAAATTATGAACAGTATCAGCAAACACAGTGACATAATAGCTAACCAGCCATAATAATGTGTTTTTATTTGTCCAAAAGGCCAACTAGCTGACGTTACATTAGGCTAATAACGTTATAACTCCAGCTAGCTAGCTTGAACTTTTGCTACTGTTCGTTAAACATCCCTGCTGATTTTTTTTATTATTGTTTTTATGTCATGAATTTAAATAACAATAATAATAAAGTAAAGATATAACCTTTGCACTTTAGGTTCTTCAACTCAAAATTATTGGCAATAATCGAGTCGTTACAGAAATAAACAAATATTATTTCTGATGTGTTATTTAATATTTATGTTGAAATTAAAGTCAGAACAGCATCTGGATTTGAGATTATAGTTAATCTTATGCGTAGATATCAAGTTTGTATTTATGTTGATATTGTAGAAACGTTTTTTTCAGTGAGTCTACCGCTCAGTCCTAAATTAATTTGCTCTCAGTCAGTTTGTATTTTAGTCCTGGTTTACAAGAACAATGCATCGCAGTACAGTGCAGTTTAATCGTTTTGACCTACTTTTGAGAATTTCCTAATCTCTATATTTAATTCCCAGTTACGTTACGCCACTTTTCATAAGAGAAACAATCAACGGCACTCAAAGGCCTTATTATTTCAGTGCTAAAAACGGTGGCCGCAGCCGGCGGCTCTTATCCCGCAAATCATGTGGTACAATACAGACAGTGTGTTTGTCTGCGTATCTGCCCGCCTTTCTGGAAAACTTGTTGTTGTTAGTGGGTCTGTTAGACCTTGACCCTGCCTCTCTAAATCCCCGTCGGACTCCATCTGATCCTCTGCCAGGCTCCCATCAAGATGAAGACCCTCCAGAGGCCCCTGGTCCGAATCCACACAGGCCAACATACATACATGTGGTCAGAGAAGGATCTGTTGAGTGCTGAGGGTCATACGAAGACAAAGTTCTGTGATTCATGCCGTTCTTGTCGTTCTTGCTTCCGTTTCCCCCCCGCGGCCCCTCATCCTCCTCTCCATCTATTACCCCAACACATAGCACATACAGACCCCTGTCACACTGTAGCTCTGTGACGCTCCTCTGACACGACCTCCGACCCTGCAGTCCCCAACCAGCGTCCTGTTCCTGTTTCTGCAGCAGACCAGAGGACAGGGCCGGCTTTGATGGATGACGGGACAGCTGGGCAGATGGACGGACGGAGGACGGGAGCATAGACACATGAAAGACGCTGCTTGTTGGGAAACCCCTGCTGGAAATTATGTAGATGAAGTCGGAACAATAGATGGATTTGATTTGTGGAGGAGGAAGTGAGCGGGGTGAGACCGCCTGGTCGAGTAAGAGGACTGGGAAGGTTCTACAGCTCGTGTCTTTAATCTTTGAAAAAAAAAAACCTGCGTCTTATTCAGACCCAAACCTTTGATTCGACTGAATGCACTGAACATTTCTGTTTTTCTGTGTCGAGGTCGCCTCAAACTGACGGTGCTGTCTGAAGATAGACTGCAGATGAAATGGAAGGAGGCCGACGGACCGGTTCAGGGCTACAAGGTCCGAGTGAGGCCCATCTCAGGTGAGACTGACCTGCTGAAGGCGTGTGACATTCACACATAAATGAACGAACCCTCTGAGCTGCAGGCCGTTCTTCCTCCTGCTGCTCCTTTTGATTTTTTTACTGCAATATGAAGTCCTGCATCGTTATGAACACAGAACAACCACCAAGAAGGAGAGAGAGCTCAGACATGTCTTCTGTGCAGTATGACACTCTTACGATGCCACGTACAACATTTACCTCGATCAGTGGAGGCTCTACATCAGGGGTCTTCAATCCTGGTCCTCCAGGGCCACAGTCCTGCATGTTTTAGATGTTTCTTTCTTCCAACACACCTGATTCACATGATCAGGATCATTACCAGGCTTCTGCAGAGCTTGATGATGAGCTGATCATTTGAATAAGATGCGCTGGAAGAGGGAAACATCTAAAACATGCAGGACTGTGGCCCTCGAGGACCAGGATTGGACACCCCTGATCTAAAACATGCAGGACTGTGGCCCTCGAGGACCAGGATTGGACACCCCTGCTCTGCACACCAGAGATGTTTTCATTTGTTTCCGCGGTTTTCTTCAGTCTGCTCTGTGTAACCACAGCCTGAAAGTTTGCTGAGTTCTGCTGTCGGCTCTCTGGTTGTGCTGATGAATGCTGAATTTTTTGATTTTTGCAGAATCTGATTCGTATAAATGTGCTTTTTGGGGGGAAATTTTTAAACGAGACACATAAAATGAAGTGATTTTGATTCAATGTTACAATTTTACGCTGAGATTTGGTTGATTTCTCCAACTCCTCATGGATGAGCAGCTCCAGAGCCTTTGGAAAGTTCAGGAATCTTTCAGTTTCTTCAGTCTCTGGTTCTGATACACGGGGTGATTTAAGAAGATTTCCATCCTGACGGCGGGTTTCGAGGCTCAGAGGGTTAACCTGACAGCACATTTGCTCTGAAAGCCGTGGCGCGCTCAGCTCATCGGAGCTCATGCACGATGCGAGATCAGAAATAAATGATTTGTTGAAGGATTTACAAACTCCATTCCTGCACTCAAATGTGAAACAGGTCTCGTGCTGCTGCGTTCACACAGTGTCGACAGAACGAGAGCAGAGAAAACACGACTGGTTCCAACTCGGCGATACAGCGGCTAACCTTTGTGCTTCTAGTCCCAGCAGATAAACAACCTGAATGATCTGCTTTGGTTGTGTTGCAGGTTCTTTGGGGTTAAAACAAATACAAAAGTGTTGGACTGATTTTATTTATCGTCATTTTAAACTGATTTTTTCACACAGCAGTCACAGTGGATGTAAACTTCACTGTCTCCTGTGACTTACAGGTCAGAGGCTAACGTCACACCTTCCTACTCAGCTGTCTGTAATTCTGGTTTATTTGCAAGCAGATAACGACTTTTTTAAAACTCTGTGCTTAACGGTTCTGTACAGGTCCGCACTCGCCAGGATTTTTACAGCTCTTTAGGAACGATTGTGGCAGCAGCTACTTTATCTCCTGTTGCAAATAAAATGTAGAAGTGCAGTGTGCATGTGTGTCACCGGCCACGATAATGCTAAAGTCATCGATCCTTCCTCCTGGCAGCGCAGTGGCAAAACCTTCCTACATCCCTCCTGTAACGACTCTGAACAATCAAAAGTTTATGATTATACTTAAAACGATGTCAAAGACCTTCATTAGGTTTCCGGGTGACCCGTGCAAAATACACCGTGCAGGGCAGGATAATGCCGTAATAACAGCCTCGGCCGTGATGGCAAACGACGGCTCCCTCCTGCCTGCGAGTGATTATCGTGGTGGGAGTTTCCTCTAATAATCATCTGAAAGTCAAAGGTGTTTTCTTTTGCCACCCTTGAGATGAAATCGCTCATCAGAGGCTTAAAGTTTCAGACTGGAATCAGAAATATAATAATTGTGACGTTTCCTGCGAGGCTCTTCAGCCACATCACCACCGTGCATCAGACACACTAATCTGTGTAAACACTGTGATGAATGTCCTCATAATATGCCCCTTTCTAGAACTTTGGAAAATGAAAGCGAGCCAACCAAGCAAGTTAAAGCTGTGGCTGTTATCTTCTATCATTCAAATACAAATGCAGCGACCGTTATGAGGGACACCAGTTAATTCAGGGTTTATCGGGTTCCAGTTGCGTCTCAGAACCTCTTCGTTAATCCGAAACACTTCTATGCTGTTAATGTTTTGACTCCTGCTCAAACATTTTCCAGCTTATGGGAACAGGATAAGACGGCTCTGGTGCTGGAGGAGATCCTGGGGGAAACTCTACATTCCAGCGTGAAGCAGTTTGCTCTTATTTCTAAAAATGCATGACTCAAAGAATTTTATATGTGCCCAGATGTGCCGAATCGAACATCTGGGAGTGTTTGGTTTTTGAATCATGGATTCCGTTATGAGCGTGAGCAGCTCTCCTGGGTCGTCTTAGGAGATAGCAAAAAAAAAAAACAAGGGGGGAAGGCTTGATGATTTATTTTCATTCAAAATATGTGATGAATGTTTGTGCTCTGGATGAATCTGGACTGAAGCTCTGTACAGTTCAAAGTTTACGTCTGCTTGGAAAGACCATGTAAATCCTGACAGTCCTGAGCTTCTAATGACTCCTTAATTTTCTACGATGGAATCACAGAAAGCCATCGTGCAATTTAGTTCTTTCATAGATTTATTGTAGGTTTTCTGGAAAAACAACATGTTTGAACATCCCTTAGTCATTTTCACTTCACTGTTGGTAGCTGTGTAGAAGCTTCCGGTTGCATCTTTGACCCTCCTCTTGACAGAATTGGTGCAGTTCAATTAGATTGGTTGTCTTTCTTACACAGACTTCTTCACAGGTTCTGGATGGTTTCAGTCAGGACTTTGGGGAGACCAGTCTAGAACCTTCATTCCAGCCTGATGGAACCATTTCTTCACCACTTTGATGTGTGTTTGGGCTCATTGTCTGGTTAGAACATCCAACTGCATCCAAGATCCAACTGATGGTTTTAGGTTGAACAATGTGGAGGTGATCCTCCTTCTTCATTGTTCCATTGACTTTGTGTGAAGCTCCAGGTCCACTGGCAGCAGAACAGAACCAGAGCATGATGCTGCCACCTCCATGCCTGATGCTAGGTTTGGTGTTTTGGGGGTTAAAGGCCCCAAGAACTGTCCTAGAAGATGTCAGTGCTAAATAGCTGAATTTTTTATTTCATCTGACCAAAGCAGACTTTGTCATCTTACCAGAAGATCTCTAATAAATCTATAAATGAACCAAAATGTTTGTTTTTAGTGACAAAGACGCGTGTTTCAGTGATTCCATCCTAGAAAATGAGGAGTAATAGGAGTCATCGGAAACTCAAGACTGCCATCATATATGTTTATGATATACGTGGTCTTGTCAAGTGTACGTAAACTTATGGTCTCGACTGTCTGTTATTTTGTTAAGTTCGGTTAAAACAACAGGCCATTCTTCTGTATTTTTTATCCAAAGCAGATAAGTTGCACAAGTCAAAGAAGAAGAACGTCAAATGGGTTGGCCACGTTTCAGATGCGATCCGATCTTACACTTTATGTAGCATTTATCTGTTGCGCAAGCCTTGTTTTCCCTCCTCTGGCGTGAAGCTGCATATAAATGTGGTGTGCAAGTATCTTTCATCTCACTGTCATCCCTCTCCTCCTCACCAGCTCCTTCCTTCTTCATTGTTGTCTCTCTGTCACCTCTTATCTCTCATTCCAGACTGTGCAGCTAAGCCCAGGCAGGTCTGAAAGAGGCAGAGGGGGGCTTAGAAGAAGAATTCGGTCCACCACAAGACTTGTCTAAAGGTGTAGGGACTGGGAGAGGGGAGGTGGGGGGGCGGCAGTAAGAGGATGAAACATTGGTGTTGACAAGATTAAAGAGGGAAGGAAGTACAATTCTGGAACATGCATTAAAACGGATTTCACAAGGTTGCGACGCACATCTGCTGTTGGAGGAACAGAGGAGGAGAGGCGGTGTATCATTTGGATGGAGAGGATCAAGATGTTTAAGACCAGATGTAGAAGAAAGAGGGGTCGCACGGCAGTTTGGTGAAACTGATGAGCGCTGTTTCAGGGGAAATTGTATGTCGGGTTTATTTTGCTGAAAAATACGGGAGTGGCGAGCATCGTGTAGCGGGCTGTTCATCGCATCCTCGTTGCTTATGGAGTGACTTCTGCAAGTTAAACTCTTGGGAAAAACCCACATTTGCAAAAGCAGATGTGACTTGGACATCCAAGGCCAGTACAAGCCCATCCAGGGAAATAATGACAATGAATAAAACGCAGAAAAGTTTTGCACGATCAAGTGAAGAGCACGAGATACATGTCTGAATGATGAAATATTTAGTCTTAACTGTGGATTATTATATTAACTTTGCAGAGTCAGTAAGTAGAAATAATCTCACAAAGATGGTCTAGTATCTTATACTTTGACTCATACATTTCTAATAATTTATTTCTAAAAATAATCATTCATTTCCAGAAACAGGCCTCCAAGTTGTTCACGGTTTCTATTACATGTGTCTTTATAATATAGATTATGAAAAGCCATGAAGCAAGAAGACGGCTAAAGCAGCACCGTGCAGTGTTTATTTAGGAAAAGCCAGATATTAATTCAGTTGTCATACTTAGACACCTTAAAAATGAAAGCATCCTGTGATACATGAATATGAATATGTGCTTCGTTCTCCTCGTCCTGGTATTGTTTGGGGCAAAAATGATCTCAGGTGATCTTAGCGTCCCTTTAAACTCCAAAGCAGTCATTTCTCACCCCAAATGCTTGTGTTTTCCAGAGGTGCCACAGCCGGAGCTGATGCTGACCACCACCAGGGGCCGGGCAACGGTGGCAGGACTGGACTCCAGTCAGGAATACTCCCTCCAAGTCCTTGTGCTCAATGGGACGACAGAGAAACTCCTCGCAAAGAGACGATTCACCAGTAAGCAACACAGCAAGATGGATTTTGGTATCTGGTCTGTTCGTCTGTTATAGTCAGAGCTTGGCAGACTTGCAGGAGAAACGTCAGGTATTAATAAAAAGCAATAGATGTAGGGTGTGGCTAGTGAGATGGGAGGTTTTACATACAGAGGTTTACGTACACTTGTGAAGACCAGGTATATGATGGCAGTCTTGAGTTTCCAATGAGTCCTATAACTCTTAATTTTCTATGATGGAATCATTGAAACACATGCGGCACAAAAAACAATTGTACTTTGGTTGTTTCAGGGATTTATTATTGGTCTTTTGGAAATATGACTGCTGTGGCCAGATGAAACAAAAGTTGAGCAATTTGACCACAATGACCAGAAATATGTTTGGAGGAGAGAAGATGAGGCTTTTAACCCAAAGCACACCAAACCTACCATCAAGCATGGAGGTGGCAGCATCATGCTCTGAAACTGGAGCTTTACACAAAGGAAATGAGTATCAAAGGGGAAAGTGAGAAAAAACCTTATTTCCTCCACATTCTTCAGGAAAACCTAAAATTATCAGCCAGACAGTTGGCTCTTGGACACAGTTGGGTATTTCAACCAGACAATGAGCCCTACCACACATTTAAAGTGGTTAAGAACTATTAAATCAGGCTGGAATGAAGGTTCTGGACTGGTCTACCCAAAGTCCTGACTGAACCCATCCAGACCCTGTGGACTGATGAAGAAAGTCTGCGTGAGAAAGACAACAAATGTAGTTGAACTGCACCAATTCTGTCAAGAGGAGGGTCAAAGTTACAACCAGAAGCTTCTACACGGCTACCAACAGCCATGCTGAGGTGAAAATGGCCAAAAGACATTTAACCAAACAGTAGCACCACTGTAGGTATTGTTTTGACCCAGAAGATTTTTCCATATTTCCAGAAAACCTTTAATGAGTCTGTAAAAGAACAAATGTAGGATTATTCTTTGGGACAAGAACGCTTGTTGAGTTGAGTTGTAGGAGTCATTGGAAACTCAAGACTGTCATGGTATACATGGTCTTCACAAGTGTATGCAAACTTTTGTTCACAAACATACATGTTTATGTGTGAGTGAAACTGACCAGCAGCATTTTTATTCTTTCATCTTATCAGCAATTGTAACATTTTTATTTCAGACTTCTTTAGCTTGAACACAGCACCTTGTAATATGCAACACTGACAAGACATTCAAAGAAACCCTACCGGCTCAGTTGTGAGACAACGTTGGCCAGAAAGCAGTCATATTGTAGGAAGTGGTGCATTTTTGACATTCTTACGCCGTGATGGCAGTGGCTCCTCCGATCCCCCCTCCATCACACCGAGCAGATGCACACACTCTCAGTGGGTGGGAATAAACACTAGCACAGCCAGATTACAGGCTAACAGCGGGGTGTGTTTGAACTCACTGTGTATACTTACGCCAGTTAAGTGTGTTCCTGGGCTGTAAATCTGTCCTGTAACACTTGTTCGTCTGTGGCCCACAAAGACGACCTTACCGGCAAAATTACACAGTGAATAATGGCCTTCAGCAGCTTGCAGGGAGGAGAACAGTTGTTTTAGCTTTACAGGTAAAGAGGAACACAGTGGACCACCTTTTTTGTTTTTGAGGATGAGACACATTTCAGTCCCTCTGGTGTATGAGTCCTTATCACCACTGACATTTTATTGTATAATATGTTAATGTAGCTGGCGGCTGCCTGCAAATCATGCAAGTGATAGTAGGTTACTGTGTCGAGTCGAGCGTGCCCGGGCAGGCCAGAAAAAAAAAAAACTTGGAAAATTCGTAACGCCGGCTGTCAGGCTGGAATGATGGCAGTCTGGGAATTCCTCCGTGATGTGCCCTCGTCTTTCCCATATGCTCTAAACCGCCCTCGGGGCGCTGCACTTATTTCGAGCTGTAGTAGTGATAGTAGGTTACTATGTCGAGGCTGATGTATTTTTGCTTCCTCAAAAATTTCACCCTCAATTTGCCGTTGTTGACCTTGTCTCATAGCTCCAGGCGAGGATTTGCTAATAAGACCCGGTGAAGAAGTTGAGTCAGAGAAAGAACAACATACCGAACATCAGACGTTCCCTGTCTTCACCTCAAGCATGTTCAGATTTATCTCTTGAACCTACAGAGCGAATCCAGTCTAGGAATAGACATGTTGGTTCCTCAGTGTTTAAACTGTGACTTTAAACAAAAAAGAGGAAGTTTAATCTTGCTTAGTCATCTTTGCCCAGAAGTTTAGAAGTATTTCTACAACAGGAGGTTTTAGATGTGACGGCCTTTTATCGATGCAACACCTCAGCAGCTTCCTGACTACCCAGCATGCAGTTCCCAGAACAGTGGCTAGCATTACCTATTGGTTCTAATAATGTTTGCGAGAAAACATTTAAATTGGTTGTTCAAACGTTTTTAGAATATTAAACATTTCCCTAACCTTGTTCCTATGAGGTTAAAAGTGAACTAAGACAGAACATTTTAACGTTCACAGGATGTTTGGAGGATGTTGTCAGATTATGTTCTACGATAACACACAAGAACGTTCTCAAACCAACATTCAGAGGACAATTTTTTTCTTAATAAAAAAAACATTCCTGTAATTTGATATTTTAACAAAGGTGGAACATTTTGCCTGCAACGTTCTGAAGATGTTGCTGGTGAGAACGTTCTTGTATAAAATGTTCCCACAATGCAACATGATAGCAAAAGAAGGATATTCTTAATGCAACACTTGGAAAATGTTTTAGGAACATTTTTTAAGCGTCTTTAGAGAATTTTATCATACCTTTAAAGAAGAAAACCTTACAACAGTCCTTTAGAACTTTCTCAGACCGAATCCAAAGGCCACTGACAAAATGTTTCTACAACGTTTTAATCATGCTGTGTGGTGTTTAAATTTAGCTAGAACTTTAAAAATGAACGTCATATCTAGATATAGACTGTTCTTTTTTTAATTAGCTGTTGGTTCTAGGGATGTCAGTGTTGGTCTGCTGATGGGTAAAGCATTAGTAAATCTGGAAAATGTAAAAATAAAAAATCCACTTTCTATCCTAAGTGCTGTCCCAATGCAAGGACACAAGTTGTAGCCACGAGTGTTTGGCTACGGTTAGCAGAAGGCTATCCAGCAAACAGCAACCTTAAGGGAATGTTCCCTGGATGTTAGCTTGTTGTAAACTCATCCCAGCAAACAGGAACCTTTGTGTAGTAACATGCAACGAAGCCATTCATTTCCAGTCTGCACAGGAAATCTACCAACACAACACAACCAACCACGACAACACGTTTAGATGTTTGGATCAGCCACAGTGCACATCTTTAATATGAATGAACATGAGATCACTGCACAGCTCTTCCTCTCTCGCAGTGGAAAGTCTGCGGGAGGAGGAGGTGATCCGCAGCGGCAGTCGAGAGCAGAAGAAGAAGATGCTGCCGGGCGGTTCGGGATCAGGAGACCTGGACGATGTGACAGAAGCTCTGCTGGGGCTGCCGACCGTCTTGTACCCGGACCCCACGACCACCG